CGGTGCCGCGCTGCACCCGTGCGGAGGGCTCTCGGCCGCAGCGGAACGGCCATCACCTGCGGGGGAGACCGGAGAGCGCTCAGCTTCCCGCGGCAGGGCCCCCCTCCCCCTTGCCGGCTTCCCCCCCGCTTCTCCGGCTTAATATTCAGAGCCACCGTTCTCGCAGGCGGGGCTGTCTCTGGTTTCCGGGGCTAAACCCGCGCTTCTCCTTTCCCTGGAAAGGAAAGGAGATTCATCCTGCGGCTCTGCCGCCTCCCGCTGCCCGGGGCTAACTGCACTAGCTTACCCCCCGAAAACCCGAACCTCTTTCTGGCATGCGAATATGCCCCGAAGAGCACCTCAACACTCTGAAAAGCAATTATGGTCTTCCTGTTACTATGCAAAATTTTAAGCAGTTTGCATGCACTGCATCCTTTCATGACAAGCGGTCCCTATCCTGTGCTGGGCAATAAGGAAAAACATCCTTTAAAGGCAGATACTTAGGAGTATTATCATAATTTATTCACCTTGTGCAACTATTTCAGTGGAAGGCAGTGGTTGCAGTCTATTCTGGAAGGAGATTCCCCACTAGCCAAGTTTTCCTTTACGTGACCTTCGCGAAGCTTTCTTCAGATCACTGCTCCTCGCATGCATTTCCCCTGTTTAAAAGAAAGTGTAAAAAGTTGATCAGTTTTAAAATGGATATATTCTCAACTCACTCAGAAGTTTGGGACTATGAAAGTTATGTTTCCTTTAATAGAATATCTATAGTATCCTAAAGTGACCAGAAGTATGCTAATAGATTCTAATTGTTTACAAAACACATCAAAGGATTTTTTCTGTTGTTACAACAAAAGCAATCTGACATGTATGTAACAGCATATGTAGCTGCAATGCATTAGCAAGATGTAAATCAGGCTTCATGGGGACTGGTTCATGTCTGAAAGATTTATGGCTTCTGCTAACAAAAAGTAGAAGCGAGCAAAAATCACAATAGATAGTTAGAACATGAAGTTTCTTCTGGGCAAATGGCAGGCTGCAGGGCACAGCTGTAAGTAGGTTAGTCCCTGTCAGCACAATCACCACCCAGTTGTATCTTCATTTCACAAATGTAGTTTTTAGAATTTAACAAAGTGCTGTTTGTTTGCCTCATGTTTGTTTATGAATTTCCCAGGCTCAGTTTAAGTTTTGATGAATGATGCATGAAAACTGTCCAAATGTACTTAATTTCATTTAATAAGTATCTGCAGCTCTGATTCTATATTTAAGAAGGTTATTAATTTCCATTAAAATCCCCGTTGGCAGGTTTTTCACAGTCCTCAAGGAACACTCATTTCTATGTAAAATATGCCTTGTGACTTCCTTTCAGCAGAGATGATTTATTTACCCTATTAAATGAGTATTAGGAAAATCTACCTTTTTGATGTTTTTTTAATGAAAGCATAATTGGTAGGTGACTTTGTCTAGAAACTCCTGACATGGACATGAAACCCAGAAGCCCATATTTGCACAAGCAAACTTCGCTTAAATGACAGTCTTCTCTTACGGGTGTTTATTTTGTGCATTTGCCCTGTGAAGGACTTTCTACTACATTTGATCACATTCAGTTAAGACAATAAATCAATACTGAGGTTTGATTTCTGGATATTTGAGTTTTTGAGACCATAACAAGGTTTCAACAGCATTTGAAAACTCCTTACTAGAATGAGTAGATTTCACAAACTTTGTATTTCTCATCTGGGTGTTTAAAAATCTGGCACTTGGGAACTTTCTATGACATTTTATGAGCTTTGGATAGCCTTAGTGGCAAATTTCATGAGGTCCAGACCCAAACTCAGTAGGTTAGGCTTTACTGACTTCTTTTCTGCAGCTTTAACTAGACCAGGAGAAATGCAGTGATCTGTGTGTACACTCAGTGTGTCTGTGGAAGATACACTGATTCATTAATAACTTAAACTGGGCAGTATCCCTGCTGATGTAGTTTTGTTTTTCAGTGAGTCTTCACAGTACTGAATTCACTATGTAACCATTTTTTATTCTGATTTATTATGTTGTAGACATTGAGATTAATCTATTTCCTGCTCCAGGCCTTCCAGAGCCCTGATGATCAGCTGTGTTCAAGAGCAGCTACTGTAACTGACACCAGCGAAATGACAAAGGTCAAATGGAGATGGTTAGAAAAACACCTAGAATGTCAAGCTCTGATGTACTGTTATATGAAGAAAATTGCTAACAGTATACCATTTGTAACATAAGTAAGTAATTGAAACATTTTGTCTCTCCTCTGCTCGCTCTTGGGCTGAGTGCCCCGATATTCCACCCTTATCTTGCTACAGTTCTGGATAGCTTGACCTCCTCAATCATGAACATTCAAAGGGTGCTAATACACTTTCCCCCATTGCTCTCAATATTATGATCTTTCCTGGATCCTGACACACCTCACTTCTGAGACCACTTCTACTTATGTTCCCCCTTACAAGAAGGAATGAGAATCTTCAGATAGTTTCAAGCTCTCGGTCTACTGCTTGATTTTGCAAGTGAAACTATAAAGGAAAAATAACCAGAAATAAAAAGTGTGGGTGACTAAACGTGAGAAGCCAAAAACAGTGACTGTAGTATCAATAACATCTCCGTGTGGTGAAATGTATTTCCTGCATCATGTCTCGAAGAGAAATTACCAATTAAAATATTCAAAGTTGTTAACAATAGCATCCAGAAAAAGTGGTCTTTTCAACTTTCTTGGGTAATGAAAATAAAAAGGGTGAGATCCTCCCCAAGCACAGTAATCATACCTTTTCCCATATTCAGATATCTGCTTGGCTTAGAAGTTTGACTCGACACTGAAATGTTATTGAGAAAGAAGCTGCCACCCACCATAGTCCTAACAAACACCTGTGTTAACATCCTCTTGAGGAATCACAAGGAGGAAGAAGAACTGAAGGTACGGCTTGCTAATGGCTACCAGAATTCTGAAGAAAATTGTTTTCTGATACATTTATAGCTAACTACCAAGAATATGTTGAAATTCGTGCTGAGCATGAGGAGGATTTGAGGCAACAAGGAACTCTACAGGGAAGCTGAAGACTTAGAAAAGCTAAAAGAGGGTTTGGAGGACTTTGTCAATGACAGAGCAATGACTGCTCCAGCAATCTCAGCACCTTTGTCTAGCTGAAAACAAAGTGTAAGAATTACACAAAGATGAAGCTGAAAAAACAATTCAGAGAAGTTGTGAAAGCTTCCCATTATTGAGCAACATGACCGATCCGAGTTAAAAGGTCATGGATTTAGTATAAAACAGGAAGAAGCTGAAAGGGGCTGATGGAAATACAATACTGAAGTCCTTCTTCATTCTTTTCTTGTCTACAGTGATCAAAGAGTTGTATTGCTGTTCTGGTGACACAGAACATTCAAAAATTACAGAATCGCAGAAGACACTTGATAGCTGTGTTTGATTCAAAAGGATCTAAGCTCCTAGCAATCTCATTTGGCTTAAAACAAACTTGGTTTTAGCACTTTTTTCAAAACTCGCAAACAGGATAGGTACTGGAAAAGGAAGCAAGCTGTTTAGAGTACATGGCATCTGTGGACTGATATCACCTTTTATACTGGGGACTTTTAAGTCAGAAGCTGAATTTCTTGGACTGAAGCTGTTTTCATTATCATGGGTTTGGTCTAGGGATGATGTAATGTTAATGGACAGAGGAACTGCCAACAAACATGAACTGTATTTACAGACTTGGCAATGACACACTTATAATATCCTGGATGTGAGCCCCCAATCTCAGATGCTGTGAGACATTGCTCAAGTAACAGCACAGATAAGAAGGCGTAGCTTTTTCTGACAGAGGAACTGTAATGAAGAGCTGCAGGTAAAGTTTCCTGGCACTGTATTCTTTCGGCAGTTCTTCTGATAAAATCCAATTAAATGCTTG